CTAAGGATCAGTGGTACACTAGTATGATCATACGATGTATCATTGACCATATTCTAAATGTCCATGTGATTCATTGTAATCGGTTGTATTCGATAAACAATTCACTAATTGTTTATCCATGCTAATGTCCTAGCAACATAACTCTTACAATCACCCACACTAATACCATCACATGATATTCAGTGGAGATATTCAACATACCTACTGTATACTGTTATTGCCCTATGTAAGGAATGTTTTGATGATTTAATCTTCTGAAGATCTGTATCATCTGGACATTTCACATGTGTATATATATATATTCGAAGCAGTAAACAAACATGTGAAAAATAAGAACTCTGTTTTTTTTTTATTAATAAGAAATATTTACAAGAAATAATATCCTAGAACTGACAACACAATTGGTTCTTAGTGCATACACTAACAACACCAACAAAAGCTTCAATGAGGATTGAGCTTGCCAAATGTCATTGGCCACAACCAAGTTAGCGACAACAATGTTCTTATTATCCGTTTAGAAAAGCTTCGACTTTAGCCAACAAATACAAATTATCTAGTACTTCAATGGCTCTTTCTTTTAACTTTTTGATTTGGTGTGTCTAACAACACATGAGTTTGTTTTTGAGCGAGATTAAAAACCATTTTAGAAGGGATTTTTGACTCTTAATGAAGGATTGCATGCTCACATCCAAGTTTTTTCGAGCCTCTAAAATAGCTACAACATTATGTTCTAGGTTATAAGCGTTATCAAAGTTCTAGCAGATGACTTGGAATAATTTAAAAACATTAGTATGGGAAGGAAAAACTACCATATTATGCTTTGTGGAGAATAAGAAAAAATCTGGTGTTGTTTATTGAAGATATAAAAGGTGGCCTTAATTTATATAGATAGAATTGCAAATATCTTTTTGCGTAAGGACATGAGCATACTTGATGAAGAAGATATAAGCGTGCTCAATTAGACTTCCTTTTCCTCTTTTTAAGCAGCAAAAGTTTGTTCATGCCTTTAGAGAGCAATCATCGAGCGAAAAGTAGTATGATGAATAATATGACAGTAAGTCTCGTCGTAGTCGATATCCGAAAACTTCAATAAAACCACAAGCAACGAGACGATCTTTAAATCAATCAAATGAGCTGTCTTCATGTTGCTTTATCCGATAAACCTATTTAGACCTAACATTTACGTTAAAAGAACAAGGCACCAAATACCAGGTGTGGTTGGAATGAAGAGCTTGAAGCTCCTCGATCATAAAAATTATCCAATGAAGGTCCTTAAGAACATAGAGTTCGAAGCTCGACATAAAATTTAGTTTGAGGAAGTTGACACTCATAATCATGTAGAAAATTGGGAGGATATCCATTTCGCCAAGGGCAAGACGAGACAACAAAATAATTTATGTTTGGTCTTGTATAGAAATAGTAGCACCATCGATGTTGTTAGCGGCTACTGATGTATCATTTGAGACACAATGACAGTGGACGAGGCACTGTGAGTAACAATTGGGATCTTGTCATTTTGGGAAGTAGCAACTGCACCATTTGAGGGTATAACACCAGCATTGTTATCGTCTAGAGTGTCGGTGTCAACATGAGACTTGTGAGTGACATCAGTATCTGCATTAAAATAGAAGCTAGTTTTTAAAACAAGTTGTTGCAGTCTTTTTGAGGCAGTTATATTATTTGGAATTTCAACCCACTTACCAAGCGATGAGAATTCTGCAAGCTTTGGAGAGGAAGAAATCAACTTTGGTTGGGTTGACTTGAAAGGAAATTTTCCTTTATCAAAGATGATGTGCATTGAAACATATACATGTTTAACTCTTCTGGATTAGACTATAACTAATAAAAACACATGGGTAAGTTTTATTAACAAACTTGTTGCCCCCTTGATGTCATAAGGAAGGAAAACACAAGATCCTAACACTCGCAAGTCGCTATAATCTGGTTCCTTTTAATACAACTTTGAAAATGGAGTTTTGTAGGATAAGACTCAGGAGGGCATCTTGTTGATTAAATAAGTAGCAACAAGAAAAGATCCAGTTTGCAAAGATAGTGACAAATTTACATAAAATAACATGGTTAAACCTATTTCAACTATGTGGCGATGTTTTTGCTCAATAATTAACCTTGTTTCGTTCAAGCATAGCGAGATAAGATATCTGTAATTGAATCCTACAATTTTCAATATGATAAAGAAAGTTAAAAGAAGTCAATTCTCCACCTTCATCGCATTGAAAAACCTTAACTTTTCTCTCAAATTGATTTTCAACAAGACTTTAAAACTTGATAAAACAAGAATAAAAAATTGACTTCTTACTTAAGAGGTAGAGCCAAGTAAATTGTGAGAAATCATCTATAAAGACAACGTTAAATTGTGAGAAATCATCTATAAAGACAATGTAAAATCTAGAAGCTTGATTTGAAGGAATTAGGGTGGTTCCCAAAGATCACAATCTACTTTTTCAAGAGGCGAATCTGAAATTTTATTATTCAAATTAAATGGTAGCTTACAACTTATCCCCGATTGACAACTAACGTAGATACATGATTTAGTCTTCCAATTAGTGACATGAATAACTTTTCTTCCTTTCAACTAAGACAAAATCTTCGAGCTTGGGTGTCTAAGTTGTTTGTGCCACAATGAGGATGAGTTGCTACTCTTTATTGCTGTTAATACCTCTTGGAATCCCGGATCTAGTGCATAGAGTTGTCCTCATTTATGCCCCCTCACCAGTATTTTTTGGTTTTGGTCCTTAACTACAAAATCAAAGGATGTCAATTCAACTATACAAACATTACCTAAAGTAACTTGCTAATTGACACTAGATTCTTTTTCAATAGAGTAAAGTAAACTTGCTAATTAACGCTAGATGCTTTTTCAATTGAGGAACCACAAATACATCTTTTAAGTCCAAAGTCCCAACATGAGCATCTCCATTATGTGTAATAGGCATTTTATTTCCCTTGCCAAAATCAATAACATCATCTCCTTTATAGGGTTTTCCACGATAATATGCCTGCATCATTTGTCACATATACGCGGTTGCACTTGAAACTATATAAAAAAAAATGATTTTCTTTGTTGAGAGTAAAGGTTGCTAAGGCTTGTGGAAAAGTCCTTTGATTGATGTCAATTATCTAACTTGTACCAACAATGAAGAGCAACATGATTAATTTTTCCGCAAATTTGATAAGAATAATACTACAAATACAACATTTTAAAAAAAAATTATAAAATAAAATAAAATAGAAAAATAATAAAAAAAAATTAAAAATTAAAAAAAAAATATTAAAAAATAAAATATTAAAAAAAAAAAATAAAAAAAAAATGTTGAATGTATAATATTATTCATTTGATAAACTAATTTACCACCCTTTTCAGATACTTGATTTTGTCCCACTTCCTTTCCCTCCTTCGTGGGATTGTTCGAAGTGGATCGTAAGTTATTGTTGGTGCTACTTTGAGTGTTGTAACGACCCATTAGAGTGAAGCCTTTTCCTTTAGAGTTGAAATTGCCTTGACTTCCTATACCACCACATCTATGACGTCGTTGGTTGAAGAAGGTCTCACCATGCTCGATATAGACTTTTTCTTTCTCCTTTTGAGTAGCAAGTATTTGTTCATGCCTTTGGAGAGCAAGAACAAATTGATTGAAGGTAGGATAGGGCGGTTTCTTCACCATGGCTGAACGAAGATTCTCATATTTTAGTTCGAGGCGTGACTCGTAAGCAAACTAGAACACTTTGTCGAGGTCAGAGAGATGCTTCTTGAGGCAGCGAGTTTGTCACAAACCAACTTGAAATACCTTACATTCTCATATAGGGGACGTGACTCTTTCTTGATAGTCATGAACATGTTTTTGAGTAGTCCTTCTTTCTCAATAGTTGTTGGAAGCAATTTGTCTTACAACAAACTCCAAAGAACATAGGTTGTTGCATCTTCATAAATGACTGACTGAGTTTCCTCCTTTATTGTACCAAGAAGTGGTTTCCCACAAAGTATAGGTTGGGTTCACACTTTTATCTTCCAAATGTGCCTCTGGTTTTTCACCATCCTTTTTGAGATGATGGAGCACTTTGAGACTACGAGCAAGATAAAGAATTTGCAAACGCCACTTATGATAATTATCGGCCCTAGTTTGACTGATAATAGACTAACACACTGGTGGAATGACTGAATTATAAGTTTCGGCTCTTCCATTACAGCTTGGTGAGATATGAGGATGAAAAGACTAGTGTTTGGGAAGGCTGGTGTTTTGGAAAGCTAGTATTTGTTTTACAGCTTTGATACCATGAAAACTCGTTTAATTTGGTGAAGTTGAATTGTGTGTTACTTCATTATTTGATACATATATAAATACATGAAAAGAAATATTCTAGAATACAAGAATTAGAGAAATTAATAAAAATTATTCAGTTTCATTGGATGTAAAGACTTGTTATGTTTGGTCCTTGATTTGAGAAATATCTCTAATGCTAGTGGGATCTTTGTTTGGTTTTGGTCGTCACATGATTTCCACATCATTCGGTACATATATCAAGTGTTTTGTATATTAAATTATAAGAAACCTAAAAATGTATATTCTTAATTATGACATTTTCTTATTTTAAAACACACCCAAACAATAAAAATAATAAGATATTGAAATGAAGACCATGAAGTCAAATGTCAAAAGTAAAATAGAGTTCTAACAAAATATATTTTTATTTTCTCCCCAATTTAGTAATTTTGTAAAATCAATGACAATATCAAAACTAATTATATGTATTATTCAAGTCAATTACACTATTATTATTATTTTTAAAAATTATATCATTAACCTAATACCATGCCTTAATATTGATAATTTTATTAAATTATTTGATGTTATAAATAAGACGGATTAATAAAATAAAATTTAATTAAAAATAAAAATGGAATATAAATTATGTCTTGATTTTAATTAGCAACAAAACAATACTACAACTTCCAATACAGCTTGAAAATTACAAAAGAAACAAAATAGTTTTCCAACATGCAAGGTGCAACTACTACTTTAATACAAAAGTAACAAAACAACCGTTTCTTCATTTCTTCGTTTTTTCTCTTACCAAACCAAGCCAGTCTCTTTGTTTTGATCCCAGATTCTCTTCTCTGATCTGATTCATCTTCACTTCACATTCCCATTTCTCTTCTTGATCTCTTAAAACTCCCCTTAAATGGCCACGTTGCAGAGCCTTATTGGTCTCATCAATAAAATTCAACGCGCCTGCACTGTTCTCGGCGATCATGGCGGCGAAGGCATGTCCCTCTGGGAAGCTCTCCCTTCCGTTGCTGTTGTCGGTGGCCAGGTTCGAATCTCAAAAGTTTTGATTTTTATGCTGTTTGGTTTTTAAAGTTTTGATTTTGATTTTGATCCTTTCACGCATCTATGTACTTTTTTGATTTCTGGGTTTTTCTGTTTCGCGGTTTTAGAGTTCTGGGAAATCTTCAGTTTTGGAAAGCGTTGTTGGGAGGGATTTCTTGCCCCGTGGATCTGGTAAAGATGTTGCTTTTTTATGTTTGTTTACCATTTGTTTGGTTGTGGGGAAATTTAGAGAAATTGAGATGTAGATCTTGTCATTTATTAGATTTTGATAATGAAGGAGATTGAAGTTACATCTTAAGTAAGCTTATTTATTAGATGCATAAACTCAGTTGAATGGTGGGTTCATTTATGGGTCCCAAATCTTGTGAATAATCTAATTGCAATTGATTTACATGTTTTTTGCATTTCTTAAGCAGCTAAGTGTAGCTTTTGACTAATGACATGACTTTGGACTCTCAAATGATTATGATCTCTACTTAATATTTGGTAAAAAGTTGATATGAAATATGCTCGTGTTGCATTACACTTGTATAATGTTTCTTTTAATTGTTTTCTTTATTCGATTAAAAGGTATTGTCACAAGGAGGCCTTTAGTGTTGCAACTTCATAAGACAGAAGGGGGAGTTGACTATGCCGAGTTTCTTCATGCACCAAAGAAGAGGTTTACTGATTTTGGTATGTTAAACTTCTGGAATGTGGGCTTTTTTTGGGGGTAAATACAGGCATCATACATGCACTGTTATGATTTAGAGCTATATATTTGTGCTGGTTTCTATTTTCAATCTTGATTTAGTTCTGGTTATCAAATTTTATTTCATTTTAGACGCCAAAATATTTTCACTTGCCTTTTTAACTTCTGGTGTGTTTTTGGTATGCACCCAAGAAGAGGTTTACTACTGTTGCAAGAGAACACATTTTTGACCATCAATACATTGTCAAGAATAAGGAAACTCACTATAACATTCATCTCTACTGCGTTCTCTGCAACAAGTGATATAATCAATCATCTAATCATATAGTTATTCTGCATCTGCCATGGCCACAAAAAGCATTATGGTTTTGGTTTGTATCTGTTTTTCATTGTTAGTAATGTTTTGACAACCCTTGTGTTTTATTGAAAAGCTCATTTCTTTAAGTGTGCTACAACGAAGCATTAAGACATTGAAGTGCACAACTTTGAATTGGTTGAGATTTTTTATTGACTGATCTGTCTTTTACCATTTTTTGTGCAATGGAAACTATCAATTGATTTAGTTTCATAATATGAGAAGTTATATATTACACTCACCAAACAAGTAGCTCATTTTATTTATGATCATTGAATTTTGCAATTTGTTTTCTTTGTTATGTTCTTTTGTATTAATATACATGGAATAATCATATATCTACTTTTCACAACAAAGAACCATTTATTTTCTTAACAAACAATGAGCACTCATTTTTTTATGCAGCTGCTGTACGTAGGGAGATACAAGACGAAACAGATCGAATAACTGGAAAGACTAAGCACATCTCTAACATTCCAATTCAGCTGAGCATATATTCTCCAAATGGTTTGTATATATCCTCTTAACAGTATGCTAAATGCAGCCTAGCTATTGCCAAAAAATGCTTAGGACAACTAATTGGATTGACTTGTAACTTGAAAGATTACTACTTCACTTGGAAGAGCTACGTAATAGAATTTCTTGACCTCTTGACTTTATTCATTTCTTCTGGACTATAATTTCTTTTTGGTCCTAGGGTGAATAGTGAAATATGTCGTAACTATGATTGTAATTAACCAGTTTTTTTAAGGAAGGGAAAACGAGAGTTTGCTGAACATTTACCCTGGGGTGCCATTTATTTTACTGGTCTGCATCGTTATGGTGGAATATGTCTTCTTTGCCTTGAACTTATACACTGGATTTAAGAAAGATATAACCGAGGAATATGATCTTTAAGATGAACTTTAACTTGCTAGGTCCAGTTAACAAGGAAATTGAATCATGATGGTACCTGGTGCTGAATCAATATAAATTCCTTTTGCACACATGTTGTATCCGAGTAAACTCGGAATTCTAGAAATGTTGAAGGTGATAGTTGCTGGGAGATTGAGTAATATCATGAATCTGCTTTCTTTACAGAATCGATGAGATAACAATGTGTACAACTTCCATGTAGAGTTGCTTCAAGTTCTGAGAAGTTTGCATGCACTTGTACATTATGAAACTTCTTGTGACAGCTGGAATGTATCACACAAATTTTTCTGCTTAAATTAATTGATTGAATCTTCTTCTGTGGATACTATATAAAGAATAATAAGGAAGCTAATAGCTAAGGAAGAAGTATCCACTTTGATGTCAAGGCCCAGATGGTCAAGGCCTTGGTGATTTAGATCCATCATTTATGCATTGATATCATTTTCTTTTCTCCTGCATTTAAACTGTACATTGGTAACCTGGTGATAACTGGCTCTGTGAATCAGTTTCTGAGAGCTTCACAAGGTTGAAACCTTTAGCCACTGAAGAGAAACTATTTACTTTATTTGACTTGAATCTTCTGGTGGCTTGAAATGTGATTTTATGATCATTGTGAAGTTTCTTTCATTTTATTCAAGAAATATTTTGACTTCATGTGTGCCTCTCTTGTCGTTTTTATCCTTTGATTTCCACAGCTCTTAAGATTTCCTTTTAATGAGTTCTCAATATTTTTTAGCAGTTACTGAACCTTCGGGTTTTGGTTTCCTAGACTCTCGGCTTATTTAGATGTATGACATAAGTTTGTGGTTTTCTTTGGCAGTTGTTAACCTAACCCTCATAGATCTTCCTGGTTTGACAAAGGTTGCTGTAGGTAATTTCAAAACATTCTTTTTCAAATATGAAACCTTAATCGATGAATTTTTTATTTCTTTCACAGGAGTACAAACTACATATTTCTCAATTATTTAATCATTTAATTTTTGGCTTTTTCAGAGGGGCAGGCTGATAGTATTGTTGAAGATATTGAAAACATGGTTCGCTCTTATGTTGAGAAGGTAAGAATGCTCTACATGTGTCATGAATGTATTTAACTTTTAGAAAACACAGATAACAGGCAGATATTCCAATAGTTTTTTTCTGCGATAGTGAGTTTTTGGTATGCAATCACAGCCTTGGATTTTCCTTTCTAAAACTTTTGACTCAGTAAAACCAAAGTTGTTTTAGCATAATGTTATTGGCATGGATCCAAATGTTATTGGTGGAACCCAATTTAAGCTCGCCATAGAAAGGGCTTGCTCTAAAATCCTTTTCCCACTAGTGGTTATCTATCTCACTTCTTTGGAGATTATTTATAGTATTTTTTTTAATTAAATGAGTTAGCATACTCAATTACATCACTACACTGGTGATGGCTTAAAGTGTACACAATTCTTTGCCCAATGTATACATTGCCCTTTTTTTTATTATATATATATTTATTCTCTGGTTTTGTAGCCTAACTGCATTATGTTGGCTAATTCTCCTGCTAATCAAGATACTGCCACTTCGGATTTTGTAGCCTAACTGCATTATATTGGCTATTTCTCCTGCTAATCAAGATATTGCCACTTCAGATGCTATAAAGCTTGCAAGAGAAGTTGATCCAACAGGTATTGTTAATTACACTTTGTATGTTTACGGACATAATACTTGGTCCAATCTGAAGCATTGCTTTGCAATAAGAGTGGCGTCAATTAAATATATTAATTATTCCATTCTGTTCCTATTGTTTAGGTGAAAGAACTTTCGGAGTGCTGACAAAACTTGATCTGATGGACAAGGGAACCAATGCTCTGGATGTATGGATTCAACATACTATATCAGTTTCTTAGACAGTCTTTTTCCTTGCATAAAATATAAACAAAAGATGTTATATGTAAATGTTTTTAAGGTTCTTGAAGGAAGGTCATATAGGCTGCAACATCCCTGGGTTGGAATTGTAAATCGTTCGCAAGCTGATATAAACAAGAATGTTGACATGATTGCTGCTCGCCGAAAGGAGCATGAATATTTTGAAAGTAGCCCTGACTATGGACATCTTGCAAGTAAAATGGGATCTGAATATCTTGCAAAACTATTGTCACAGGTCTTTCTCCCTCCTCGTTGTCTTCTAATTTTGGCCCTAATCTACAATTCTGTTATCTTCGCTGGAGCTTTCTGAAACCTTTCTCATGTTGAGTTGTTTCTTTATTTTTCCTGTCTTTATCAGCATTTGGAAGTTGTTATCAGGCAGCGCATACCCAGTATCATTGCGTTAATTAATAAGACCATCGATGAGATTAATGCTGAGCTGGACCGGATAGGCAGGCCTATCGGAGGTGATTCAGGGGTAATGATTTAGACTTATGAGGAATTAGTGTACATAGGTATACAAGAAATCGTTTCATGGTCCTAGTTTATTTATTCAGTTAATCTTATCTATCTGTGCAGGCCCAGCTGTATACAATCTTGGAAATGTGTCGTGCATTTGAGCGTGTATTCAAGGAACACCTGGATGGAGGGTAAAGGACATGGCTTTTTTCAGCCTTTCTTTTCTGTTTTCAGCATTGGATCATCCTATGTGTGTTACTTTTTGATAATTGTTTGATTTGATTGATTAACACTGCATAAGTAATATCATTTGAAAATACTCATTCTGAATTCATTGGTTTTGACCATTTGAGTTTGACAATATAATGCCAAGTGGTGGATATTAGTAAAAAAACACAAGAAGGATGTATCATGTTAAACTGAGATTTGGTGAGCATCTGAAAGGTAGACATACCCTTTTCCCAAGATGTAACAGTGGCAAATTTACCTAACTTCGTCATTTCCAGTTCTTGGTTCTTTTGTCTTGAACCTTTTTGTGGCTTAGCTCATGGCTTAGTAGCTATTCCACTGATGTAGCTATCAAGCTTTGAAATTTCAACTTTCATTAAGTAAGCGAAACAGTAAACAATTAATCTAAAGTATTTGCTCAGGGATCATAGAAACTGGGTTACTGTGAGCTTTGAAAGCGTCAATCATGTTTGAATCCATCTCAACCCAAAGTCCTTTTTTATCATACCTTTCTCTTTAGAATCTTAACTTGCAATTATTGCTACATCTGACTTTGGAACTTTGATCTTTTCACCACGCAAACACTCCAAATTTTTATATGTATTTTTGTTTATAAGCATTGTAGAAGGAAAATATTGAAGAATGAAACAATTTATTCTTCTTTGAAATATTATATTTGAATAAAGGTTAAATATTTAATTTGTATTATTGTAGTCTTTGATGGAAGCCAAACTTGTAAGATTGTTGATAATTACTGATGATTTCTTGACACTTCTTTTATAGACAGTACTGCCTAAGAATCTCTGGCAAATTTTAATGTGTAAGATATGTTGAAACAATGGTGATTTTTTGGTGCAGTTAGTTTGTCTTATAATGCAGTTGAAACAATGGTCCCTCTCTTTCGCAAAGTAAAATCTTGAAAAATTATGTTACTGCTGAAATATGTCATTAAAGTATTTCGCTTTGGTGTAGTATAGTGTCTGGTATACCTTCTAATGTGGTTGGTCTCTCTTCCTAATTGCTCAAGCTTTTGGAATTCACTTCTTAACATTGTATTAAAGCCAAGTTTGTTTCTGTTCTGTGTTTGACAGAAGAAAAAGAACTTTTACAAAAGTACTGCCTTTTCAAACTTACAGTATCTGAAGATTGTGAAAGATATTTTCATGGAGTATCGGTTATATAGCATATGTTATAGCTAATCGATATTATAGCATATTTTCAATTTTATGTCCTGACAATGTCATAACTTGCTATTCTAGGCGGCCTGGTGGAGACCGGATATATGGAGTTTTTGACCACCAACTGCCAGCTGCTTTAAAAAAGCTCCCCTTTGATAGGCATCTGTCTACCAGAAATGTCCAAAAAGTTGTTTCAGAGGCTGATGGTTACCAGCCACATTTAATTGCTCCAGAACAAGGTTACAGAAGACTCATTGATGGGTCTATCAGCTTTTTCAAAGGCCCAGCTGAAGCCTCTGTGGATGCTGTAATGTTCTTACTTTTACTTTGTCAAGATAAATCTTTTTGAATTAGTACAATTGCATTTCTTTTCTGGAAAATTGCTAATATTAGATTATGTGATATTTCTTAAATATTGGTTTAGGTTCAATGTGCTTGGCATTTTATTTTTTTCTCTTCTCTGTTTCTGACTATTTGTAGATGTTTATAATATGCTATTATTGCTCTTCTAATGTTCTTTACACATCTGCTGTATTTATATATGTTGGCTGAACTTTTGTTTTATGATATTTTGCTTTCTCTTTTCTTTTCTAGCATAGTTAGTCCTCCCTCCATAGCTTTTTAGGGTGATAAAGATTACCATTGAGAGATTGGATTTCAGTGGAATAGTTTAATATTGCAGACTAGTAACTTTATTTGTTAGTTTTTTTTTTTGTTTTTTTTTATTTTTTAATTTATTTTTTTCGCTCTAAACAAAAGGCTTTTACTTGAAAGTAAAATGCCCATTTTTCTTCTAATTCTTACTGATGAATACGATTATTTTCTGGTCTTCTGTAGGTACACTTTGTATTGAAAGAACTTGTACGAAAGTCTATAGCTGAAACTGAGGTAAGCAAATTTTTGTTGGAGATAGTTTTGGCTGTAGATTCAAATAAAATTTATTTATGTAAGATGATTTTCCGTATCAAATTATATAAGAGTCATTTAAATGGAATTCATTCCATTTAAATGAAAATCATTGTTCCAAACCGTTCTCGTCCTTTAGATGCTACTGATTTAATTCTGTACTTTTATATGTAATCTATCAATAATGCTAAATTCATTTCATAAGATGAAATTTGAGATGACCCAAATTTAGTAGACTTGGTTCATGTGAGATCTGCTTTATGCAAACTGCAGGAGTTAAAGCGGTTTCCAACTCTTCAATCTGACATAGCTGCTGCTGCAAATGAAGCTTTGGAAAGATTCCGTGAAGAAGGCCGGAAAACAGTTTTAAGGCTGGTGGATATGGAATCTAGCTACCTGACGGTTGACTTTTTCCGAAAGCTTCATCTTGAACCAGAGAAGATTCCTAACCCACAAGGCCCAAATGCACCAAATGGACCAAATGCACCAAATCAGGATCGTTATTCTGACAATCATTTTAGGAAAATTGGTATGCATTGCTTTATCTACATTCAATGTTTTATCCTGTTTCTTGTAAACCAACATAATTATATGGGATCCCATTTTAGCAATTGGTTTAATGTCATTAATGAGTAAAGGAAAGAGCATACCCAAAAAAATACAAATGCCAAATGGCTTCATACAACCATTTGAATGGAAAACATAATACAAGCCATCTTATGATTTGTAAAGGCTTGGATGGCAAGAAAACCCACCAGATTTGAACTTCTTTCTCAGTCTGCTTGACTGCTGGATGAATAACTATTCAGATTTAGGTCACAAGAAAATTCGAATTTGTTTTGCAACATTTGTGGTACTAATGTTTCCAAATGCTAGTTGTCTGGTTTTGTAATGTATAATGTATAAATTCTAAGTCTGAAAAACCAAATATCCTGACATATTCTTTTTTATTCTATCCTAGGATCAAATGTCAGTGCTTATATTGGCATGGTTTGTGATACACTGAAGAATTCAATTCCCAAAGCTGTGGTGTATTGCCAAGTCCTCTCGGCCAAGAGATCACTACTCAACAACTTCTATGCTCAAGTTGGGAGGAAGGAGGTGAAGTCTTGTAGCTAAATATATTTTATGGAGCTTAGAAAATGGCTTTTGATTTTATATTCTAATAATAATAATAACAGAGAATAAATAAACAGCAATAAGTTTGAGAAATCTTCACCCCAATTGAGAAGTAAGAACATCCCAATACATCAAAGATACTTATTGAAGCAGCCTGGAATTTGCCGAAGTTGAAGTGTAAAACAATCTTTGGTTGCCATGGCAATTTGAGAAGAGAAAAGTATCAACACACTGTCTTCATTTTTTGGTTGAATTTTCCTGGCGTGCATTAAGTTATTAGTTTATTAGTCCATCATTTGCAGGCTTGATTTCCTATTGTTGATTGTAAAGAGGTATTCTCGGCAAAAATTTGACAGCAGTATTGTCTTGGTTTCTATGCAGAAAGAGCGGCTTGGTGCAATGTTGGATGAAGATCCACAACTTATGGAGAGGAGAGCAACCTTAGCTAAAAGGCTTGAGTTGTACAAGCAAGCCAGAGATGACATCGACTCGGTAGCATGGAAATGATTGATTTCCAGTTGCATGAGATTTCTTGCCCGCACAGATTTTTTCCACGTAAACATCGTGAGGTAGATTTGTTCCATTAATGAACTAATTGCACATTCTTTTGTATTTGATATTTGATAATAATCAAATTCGATTCATCTGTACCTATCAGCTTGAAATTAGCATTCAATATAATATCTTTTTGTGCGCTATTACTATACATGAAAGGTGATCAGTTTCGACGGTCTTGCTCTCCATCTGTTTTGTTCATTAGTAATGTTCAAGTCTTTTTTCCTTTCTTTTTGTCATAAATGGGTTGACAAAGTGTTTGTACTACTGTACAATTCATTTCCAAATCACTGAAATTATTTTATACCTTGTTCGTTGTGGTAACTGGTTAATTGAATTGTTTCGGGATCAGATTTTCTTTTGAAAAAGGGGTTTATTTGAAACTGTTATATTGCCTCCAGTTGAGAGAAAACAAAAAGAATAAAAGTGTCTTGGCTCTATTTGGCTGAGAACAACATTGAATTGAATTGGCTCTATTTTCCTTGAGCCAATTTGAAGCATTTTGCTCATTTTGATTTTTACAATTTCGCAAAAATGACTACCTCAGCAGATAATTTATTAGACTACAAATAGAAGGAAAAGAGCACAAAAAAAGGACTATAAAACAAGCCAAAAAACAATAAGTTATATTATTTTTTTTGATAAATCCGGAAATTATATAAAGAATAGAGAATTAAAAAAAAAGGAAGGGGTCTCCCCTCAACAACTAAGTCCCAACGGCAGGCCCAAAGGACAGGGATGAAGGAGCTACACCGAAAAAACCAAGAGCGGCCAAAGGATACGCCCTTATACACAAGCTGACAAAAGAACCAAAAACAAGGCTAAACAATAAACCCTAAACTGTCCAGAAAAAAACAACTCTGCACAATCAGCAAAACGCTCTTGGAAACAGCACAAAAACATCAGCTTCCAGCGACTATCTCCTCTGCAGAAGGTACTAGAATGTTGCAGCCTTCTGTACAGTCTGTACCAAAAAACCAGCAAGGGGAACAGACATAGCACATCGTCCATCCATAGCATATTGCCTCCTATTTTCCCCTTTCCCACTCCGTTTCTTCTATTTTTAGTGCTAGTAGAAAGGGTCTGAAACTGATGCTCCATATCACCCAGATGCAGCCCTCGCATAGCACATGGAGGCAAGGACAAACACAATATGCCTAGCCATCTTAAAGGCCCTGCATTATTTAACTCAACATTCAAGCAATGGGGCAGAAACCCCCGCCAACACAAAAACAGTTTGCAGCACTTTAATGTGAGCTGCAAACACTGCAGTCAGCCAAAGAGAGGAGTACCTTTGCCCAAAGGCCAAATAGAAAAGAAAGGATCATCGAAAATTTCCTTGGGGCAAGAAAAGACACCAGTTTGGCTATCCCAACAGAAAAGCCTTATTTTCCCATCATCACAAACTACCCAGATCATAAGAATCATCACCAGCAGCCTTATTAGCTCACTCCTACTCTACTGCACCCTTTTTTCAGCAACAAACAGACCACCTGCACAAGAGAAAGCACGTTGGTAAAATAAAAAGGGCCACTCCTAACTCTCGTACTCCTTCATTGAATGAGAATGAATTTAAGAATCTATACAACCACAACAACAAAAAAATCAGCCATATTGGCTAAGTATATAAACAATAGTAGAGGGAATGATCAAAAGTCTCAGTCCAATCAATCCCAATACATAATCTGCTCCGATGGACTCTACTGAAGTTGATCAAAGAAATCAAACAGCGGCCATGACTGTCTTGAGGGAATCAATTCAACCTACTCATCTTCATCTTCATCAGCTGAAGTAACCGGAATTCCTACAATTTCATCTTCTGAAGTATCCGAAATTTCCAGAATTTCAATATTGACCGGGGTATCGATCGAATTTTCAGCCTGGCATTCCTCTTGATGATCTTCCTCTAAGTTATCAACAAGTAAATGATCTTGACTTCTTGCTTGTAATGTCTGACGCTTCTTTCTCCTCAAAAGTATCAGAAATTTCCAGAATTTCATCATCTGAAGTATCTGAAATTTCTGGAATTTCAATATTGTTGGAATTGATCGAATTTTGTGCCTGACATTCTTGTTGATCATCTCCCTCCAATTCATCAACACGTACAGGACCTTGATTGCTTCCTTGTAAGGTCTGACACATCTCCTCCTCAAGAGAGGCAATAAACTCAGTATTAGAGACATCCTTATCAAATTCTTGATTATCATTAAGCCATGCTCATGATTTTTTATATCAAACACATTCACATCACAATGTTGATCATTCTCTGACCCAGAATCAAAAAACACATTCCCGGAACTAGATCAAAGCCTTCAAGAAAAGCTCAGACCATCAGAAACAACATTTCCAGAAACTAAATCAAAACCATCGCCAAAAATTAGACCATAATTCCTATAAACTAAATCAAAACCATTAAGAAAACTCAGACCATAATTACTAGACAATAAATCAAAACCATTAAACGAACCCACACCCTCATTATCAGAAACCAAGTCAAATTCTTGGCTAACAAATTGGAGGCGTTGATCAACACCATCAGAATCACAAACCAAGTCCAATTCTTGCTTTGCAAATTGAAGCCGTTGATCAACACCCATATTAGCCTGATCAACTCTAGACAATAGTTGAATTAACTGATCATATTCAAGATTCTTAACACCGGCTTTCACTTTCTCTGCCAATTCAAGAAAATCAATCATCTGGGTGTCAATTTTTTTCCCTTTCTTGTTGGCAAAGTCAATAAAGTCCTCCTTGGTATCGCTGCTCTCCTTCCTCTTCCCCAGTACAGAAGCAGAACCAGAAGAAGAACCACCATTCTTGAAGCTGATGGTTTTCTTGTACTTACAAATCAGTTCCAAACAAGATTTTGAATCTTCAGGCCAAGAATCAAAGGAACAGGAAATGGAAGATGCGTCAATATCTTTGCAAATGAAGAGGACGCCAATGTCGCAAAGAATACTCAACTCCTTGCTCTTCTTCTTCAAACATTGTAGTCTCTTTGGGTTCTTTCGAGTCGCCATTATCACTTTCAGAGAGAGCAAGAAAGCAAAAAAAAATCAGAGTATCAGTGAATGAATGAATTTGTTACCCGCGGGATCCTTTAAACAGCTGGAGCTGGGCCAGTGACAATTTGACCGTTGGGACAAAAATAAAAAAAGTAAAAAAGTACTTTCTGTTTTTACTAAAATAACCTTGCCGATTTGGATGTGGGCCTTCAAAATGGGACGAGAGTAGAATATATAATCCGGGAAATGATCGTTAGCCCTTATCAAATTAATCACTATCCCTTAGTGTGCATTTGCAATATACATCGGTTGGTATATTTTTAAAAATTTTCTTTAAACACAATTTAATACTAAAAATAGTTTTGCTTAATTAAAGTTAATTAGCATTAATTAGGTTTTTATTTGCACCCCTTTTCCCCAATTTTAAACTTAATTAGGGTTTTTGACAACATCATTTTTTTTCCAATTTCAAACTCAATTAAATTTCAAACTTAATTATGGTTTTTGCTTACACCACGTTTCTCAAATTTCTTAATTAGATTTTTTGTTCATACCCTATTTTCCCAATTTCAAATTTGAAACTTATTTTCTTTGTTTTCAGATTCAGATTCATCCTGTTATATGATTACTTTATATATAACTTTAGTAAAACATTTTCATTAAACAAAGAATTATTTGAAAATAAAGAAAAAAAACATGTTTTATAGAAAATTTAGATTTAGAGTTTATGTATGAAATAAAGGTTAAAAATTAAAACAATAATATAAAATAAAGAATAAGTATATTTAAAAATTATTATATCATTAAGGTTAAACTTGTATACACAAAAATATATTTAAAAGTGAAGATAGTGATCATTTTGATGGGACGGATAATCACTTCCCAATATACAATTTGGGAAATGAATTTTAGCCTCCATCAAATTGACCACTATCCCCCGTTACTAAATACCCTTCTATTATATTTTAAAGGCCGAATGACTTATACATACCTAAGGTTTGTAGTAACAACAAATTAGTACCTAAAAAGTTTTGAAACAATAAATAGATACCTTCCGTCATGTGCTGTTAGTGATTTCCATTTGGTAATAGTGAAAAGACTAGAATGCCCTTGAAAGTTTGATATTTTAGTTTTTTGTAAATTTAAAAATTTCTAAAAAACCCCCTAGGTTTGCTAATTTAATTAAACACCCCAATATATAAAAATTTTGTAAAATAAAAAAAACACCCTCACCACCCGCAGTGCCAGATTCCGGCCACCACTGCCAGAATCTGACTAGAAAATTGCGTTATGACACAGACTGTCGGATCTGTGTCGTAACGCGTCGATCTGGCTGGAAAATGCTAGATCTGGCCGTCAAGGCCGCAAAACTCCAGACGGCCAGATCTGGACATAGATCTGGCCTTTTCCGGCAAGATTGACAGCCAAATCTGGCTGTCGAGGCCGCAAAACTCTCGATGGCCAGATCGACGCGTTACGACATAGATCCGACGGGTCTGTATCGTAACGTAATTTTCGGCCAGATTCCAGCGGTGGTGGCCGGAATTTGGCACTACGTGTGTTTTTGTTATTTTACAAAAAATTTATATGTTGGGATGTTTATTAAATTAACAAACCTAGGGGGTTTTTTAGAAATTTTTAAATTTATAAAAAACTAAAATATCAAACTTTCAAGGGCATTCTAGTCTTTTCACCATTACCAAACGGAAATCACTAACGGCACATGACGGAAGGTACATATTTGTCGTTTCAAAACCTTTTGGGTACCACTTTATCGTTACAGCAAACCTTGGGTATGTGTAAGTCGTTCGGCCTATTTTAAATAATTTTTTTAAACCCAATTTAACACCATAAATAGCCTCATTTAATTAGGGTTTTTATTTGCACATCTTTTCCCCCATTTCAAACTTTAATTGAGTTTTTGATTAAACTATTTTTCCTTAATTTCAAATTTAATTAGGGTTTTTATTTATGTCACTTTTTTCTAATTTCTTAGTTATGCTTCTTTTGTTTATACCCTTTTTTCCCATTTTCAAATTTGGAACTTACTTTTTTCTTCTACAGACTGAGATTCATCATGTTGTGTAATTATTTTTTTCTATAAT